CTCCGAATGTCTTCGGTCGAACTGGACGCAAGGCAAGTCGTCCAAGAAAGCTAAATCGTGCTCGTGAAGGCAGTGCAAGGTCCGTTCGCGCACTCCGGTCTCTTGCCGCTTCGCCGATTAGAATGGTAGATCCAGATAGCGGCGATAAGTCTCAATTCATTCGCAGCGATGTACGCAATGACAATGCGGTGGTGGTGCGCGTCGTATCAGGCGCACCATCGTGCGACTCGTAGATGATCTCTCGATCGAACGAGATGCTCGGCGCTCGTCCTCGAGCGCCTAATGTTATCGAGAGACGTTGATCGTTCTCCTCCTTGGAGAGACGAGCAGCCGACTAGGTCATGTGAGTACTCACGACATCGTGGCAACGTCGCGTAAATTGCATGCGATGTGTTGCTGAAACGATGGTTGGACGTTTCTGAGGTGTGCGTTCGTGCGACCGGAGCCATGAGGATTAGCGCGTTGCGGAACCGCTTCGCCGGGTCGTGTCGCGCGCGCGCGCGCGCGCGCGCGCGCGTTTGTTAATTGCCGCTGAATAATCGAATCTCCGCGGGCTGCACCCCCGCGGCGATGCACACGCAGCGTGCGGTCTTCATGGTGTTTTCGCAACGCGTCGAAATAGAAGAGAGTCTTCTTTCCTTTGCAGTCTGTCCGGATGCCCGCGAGCCGACCGCTCGCAGATCCAGGCGCATTCCCAGGAGCTCAAGTGCCCCACGCCGGGATGCGACGGTTCTGGACACGTCACGGGAAATTACTCGTCGCACAGGAGTTTGTCCGGTTGCCCGCGAGCCAACAAGCCGAAGAGTAAACCCCGCGATGGTCAAGATTCTGAGCCCTTGAGGTCAGTGTACGTGTACGCTTTTATTTGTACACGCTCCTCACTTCGACTGCACTTCCTCTCTGGTCTGGTTAACGCGAGGATCAGTCGCTTCTCTTTCTTCGCGGGCGAGGGATACTAATCGGACGAGATCTTGTCGAACAATCGCAATTCGTTTCTAAAGATACTCTTCACAAACGATCATGATACATCATTAGATTGCCGATGCCGATCATTGAGATATCATTTGATGATTTGATGAAAAAGAAGATATACATACATCTTCAAGTTTTGCGCGAGGAAATTCAGATAGCCCGATAGACACATCCTGCGAGCACACATCGCGGTGTGCGCAGTCAGCGAATGAAATTGACAAGTGCAAAATTAGCAGATGAAAACCGACGCCGACAGAAACAACGAAACAGGGGGTGCGAAAAGAGAACCGAGGGCTATCGGACACGGACGCTCGATAGGCTTTGGCCTCAAGACGCGACTACATCTCGCAAGTTGTGCAATTTGCGGGCACGGCAGTAATCGCGATCTCAATTTGCGTTTTCGTCGCGTTCGCACGTTGCACACGTAGCACAGCTAACGCAGGTATCTTCTCGACCGCATTGCACGTACCAGGAGGCTGTCGCGCGAGACCGAAAGGGGAAATCCCGTTCCCTCGTAACCGCATCCTAACTCCCAGCCCGAATTATATCCCGCGCAAAGGCGAAGACGCTGACTAATAACTGGCGGTTTCCGCTCGTTTCACGCTCGCTCTGTGCGGATGGATTATGTGGTGTTGGTGACGGTGGTGTTGGCATTTTGGACTACAGATGTCCAATCCCGGGTTGCGACGGGTCCGGCCATGCCACCGGCAAATTCCTGTCGCACCGCAGGTAAGGCTCTCGTAGAGGAGGAATCCTCGCGTAGCTCGAATCTCGCTTGAACCTCGCGCGTGCGTTCCTCTTTGCGGCGGCTGATTAATCTCTCTCGTTTGAATATTTTCGGTCCGCGACGCCGCGCATACTTTCCACGTTCATTGCGGGTGATTGAGTGCCTCGAGCGGCACGATCGGTCGGTCTGATGATTACACACAACCCCCCGAGATGCGCGTGTTGCATGACCGTATTTCCAACCGCTGCGATCACAGCTAACGCGATAATTACGCGGAGATCCTAGATAACGCTCTGCTGAGTGAACCCGGCTAATGTTTACGGCGATCGATCGATCTCGTTCGTTCGGATTTATTTTCGGATTAATATCACTCTCTCTCTCTCTCTCTCTCTCTCTCCCATGTCAATTGCGAGATTGCAAAATTAAACGTCGTGAGTGCCTCCGGCACAACTGGCTGGCCTGATAATTGCTCGTAATAGTATTTCCAATCGCCGTGGTTACACGATAATAATCAAGCGGGGATTCTTGATAACGCTTCAGCGAGTGAAACTAACGACGTTTACGGCGACGATCGAATAGCACTTTTTTCCACATTGATTGTAAAATTGGAAAATCTAACGTCGCGTGGTTGCTTCTGACACGATTGACCGGTTTGATAATTGTAATAAATATAAATCGAGAGGTATCGAGATGGATCGCACGATGAATATTCTCAAGCGCCTGCTGAATCACAAGAGCGATAATTACGTGGGGAGGGGGGGGGGGATGATCCTTGATAACGATTTGACGAGTGAAGCCGACGGTGTTTACGGCGACGTTTGTCCATGCGTAATCTTCACGCATCCTTATTTCCTGATTACAGCGCGTCTGGCTGTCCGATCGCAAACAGGAACAAGATGCGAGTACTGGAGTCCGGCGGCACGGTCGAGCAGCACAAGGCGGCCGTGGCGGCCGCGACGGCCATGAAGTTCGAGGGTGTTAATTGCCCCACGCCCGGATGCGACGGAATCGGCCACATAAACGGCTCTTTCTCGACACACAGATCCCTGTCGGGCTGCCCGATAGCCGGCCACGCCGTGAAGAAACCGAAATTCGAGGATAATATGAGCATGTACGGCAAAGGAATCACCGGTGAGGATCGAGTTGCCTCTGATGACGCCTCCTGCGGCTGTCGATACTTAACGATCGAAGAATAAAACTGTCAGAGCACGCTGTGCGTGAGAGAACTGGTCGTTCTCGACGAATCCGATCGAATCTCACTGAATGAGCGAGACCGCTTGAGCTCTTCTCGCGCGCGCAGCTGCCAAAAGAATTGAAAACTACCGAGACACGTCTCGTGTCTCTCATTAGTACGCGATAGAAAGAGAGAGAAAGGAACTATGTTCTAGAGTAGATAAGACAGTTTAAGTTCGCCCTCTGTTCTTTTCCACTATGCTTGCGCATCGTGCTCGTTCAGGAGCTTCGTCGCCGACATACAACGCTCATACACGTCTCTTCGCCACGGTGTTCGCGCGAGGGGATTGACGGCCGATGTGCAAAAACAAAAAAGAAAGGGGAAAAAGAAACGAAAAGATCGCACCCTGTTGATTTCGCCACGCAATGATGACGTACGTGAGGTCTCTGGACGAGCGCGCTGCTAAAACATACGGAATTATGTACCTTTCTTTGTAAACTTGTGCATATCTAACCTTGTACTTGATCCCATGCTACGCCATACTCTGCTCTTCACGCAATGATGTGCTGTCATACCATGAGAATGACCCCCCAGCCCCTTCCCGTCCTTCCGTTTTTTCTTGACTCTCAAGGAGTTCGTTTTCTTGATTTCTTTCTCTTCAAGTATTACTTTCCCCCGTCTCGACTTTTTTCGTTCTCTCAGCGACGACGAGAATCGATCCAGATTTGCGAATAATCAAAAAGAAAACAAAAGAAAAAAAGAAAGATCGTCGCGATATCGATTGAAACGCGAAACGGTGAAAGAAACGCCACGAAGTAAGCTCACGAACGAAAGAGGAGAAGCACCCGCAAAACAAACCAAAACCAAAGAAAAAAAGAAAGAAAAAGAAAACAAAAATGTCACACGTACGATCAGTAGCGTTGTACTTTGTGTAATCGTTTCTTCTCTTTTCTTTCTTTTCCTTCCTTTTCGATTCGATCCCGCGCAGGTACCTCTTCCTTCGTTATGTACAAGACAGAAATGTAAAACCAGAAAACCAGCCGTATGTCTTAATGAAATGGAAAATAATATATTCTGATTTATTCTGGGATCACGATCAGCTCCTTTCCTGTTGAGCTTTGCGGAGCACGATTACTTTTGAAGGTAAGGGACTGACGTATTCGCCACTTGTTTCTTATGTGTTTTCGGTGTTACATACAAAATCCACACACCAGTATCTTTTTTTTCTTTTTTTCATATTCTTTACGAGACGACGTCCGAGTGTTGGCAACGATACTATCCATGCGCTACGATGTGTCGTGTTCCGTCTCCGGCACGATAAATTACCGTAAAAGCTTTCTGTCTCTCTCTCTCTCTCTCTCTCTCTTTCTTTCTTGCTCTCATCTTCACGCGCGGCCACGCTACATTCGCGCAATCAACGCCAGCACTCGGTTTCTGCCGTCTCTGTCTCTCTCTATTTTTTTTCTTCTATCTGGTATGATGGCACCTCACGCTAAATCCCCAAGACACCCCGACATCGTCCCGATCATCGTACCACTCCCACGGCACTCCTGTCAGGTTCGTGCGTCTCTTACTGAATCGGAGCACACGCTTGATCGAACGAGCCTCAAAATGTTTCTCGCTTTTCCGCCGAGATGCGTGATTCTCACGATTGGCACGAACCGTACGCAGAAGAAACCGTATACCGTCCCTATTATTATCTCGAGACAAGCTCAATTGCAGTGACTTGGGCCGAGCGAAGCGAAGGGACGCGCGAGGGGTGGCGCACCACCGGGATTCGGAGCACTTCGCTTCAAATCCGATCGATTCTAACGACGCAATGTCCATTCTCCTCGCGCACAAACAAGCCGCATCGCCTAAGTCGCTGCCTGAACTGATATCCTTGGCGTTAACTACTTACATGCTCGCTAACATTGTATCCTAACATATGTATCGCGTCAAAAGAGAAACCCCGTTCGCAACCCCCGTTCCGAATTATTCGATAATGACGCTTTCCGATCGTGATTGCTCTCGAGCGAAAGCGAGCGTTGTACCTTTTTATGGAGTAAGCCTTTTATTACGAAAAAAAAAGAAAAGCAACGAACGCGCTTCCGTTTGAGTACGGTAGAATTCGTGCGAGGCTCCCGTCAGACCTCGCGGGGCCTCGAGTCGCGCCGGTTTCCAGTGGTTTCCTCCGCAATCCCGCTGCAGAGCGAGCGCTCTCAATTACAATTTCGCGTGTCGTCGCTGATGATAAGGAAACCGACTGGAAGCCGACCAGCACGATTCGCTTTCTGCCGTACGACGGACAGTCGTACCAAACTGGACCGTGTCTGTCCTTGTCCTCAGGGGTAGAAGCCGGTGGTCCGGCTCACGGGGGTGCGGTGGGCACGGGTCAGGGTAACTCGAGCGGTAGCGGGACCGCCGGTGCCCAGAGCGAGGATCTCTACACACTGGAGGCTGAGATCACCGAGCTCCAGAGAGAGAACGCCCGGGTCGAGTCGCAGGTCCTACGCCTGCGCTCGGATATCACAGCCATGGAGAATCAGCTCAAGCAGGGTGAAAAGGTCAGTGTCTGCTCAATCGGTAACGGTATACCCTGTGTCGAGTAAATAGGGAATATACGAAAAGCGCGCGAACGATCCGAGTCTTATCATGCTTACGTCATATAGATTTTCCTCGTTTCAACGTTTTTACCGAATTTTGGTACTCGCGTCAGCGAATTGCTCGCGCCGTCGTGTTTACCCTTGGTCGGACATGGGATAGTGTCTTTTATTTTACGGAGAAATATTCCACGATTGCATGGTATCTTTTTGTTAACCATAAGTTGATACCGCGCTTGAATAATCGGATGTTGATTAGTACATCTCGTATATCTCGAAAAGAAAAAAATTCGCGAGGGAAGTTCTGTGTTCTGGGAGGCAAACGTCTCGGTTTCACCGAGGCAACTCGGAAGTAGAGCGAAACGTATGGTTTTTGAAATTACAGACACTCGAATTTCGGTGCGCTTCTATTATCTACTTGCCTAAACTCGATCGGTGTATTCGAGAGCTCTCATCATCTCCTCTCGACTTCGTTCATTTTGCGTCTCCAGTCGCGAGAAAGAGTTGTCGAGTACTCGTCTCTGAATACGAGAGATTTGATTGTGTTCATTTAAACGAATTAATTGTTCATTATCATTTCTTATCAGTCGTGTGCATGCATGGTCACAGTGGAGGCAATTACGTGGTCGCGGAATACCGCGCTATCCACTGGCATTGAACAAAAAGGCGCTTATCACGTCGCTCGTCTCTCTCTCTCTTTTCGCAGGAAACGTCAACGATAGCTCAGCGTAACAACAATCTGACCGAATACTACCAGTCGCTGCGCGACAACATGATCTCCCTGCTGGAGCATGTGCGAATACCGAACGCCCCGGGCGGACCGCAGGAGAAGATAGGCCACGAGAACTTCGACAGTTACCTGACGAAGCTGCAGACTCTGTGCACCGCCGACAGCTACTGCACCGACGAAAGCAACCGGCCGATCTACGAGACGGTGAAGACAGCTCTGCAGGACTTCACGGTCCTGCCGACACCCATCTGAGACCATCCTTAAGGCTCGACGATTGGGTACTGAGAGCGTCGCTCGGAGCTCGCGCGAGACCCGCAAGCGACTCGACGACCTCGTGTTCGCGTCGTGGATCGCGGTCATAGTTCACCCCCCGCTCACCGAGTGCACCGAGTGAACGAACGGCGCCGATGAGAGACGTCCCGGCGGCCGAGGAGACGACCAAGGACCGCCGGCGTCGATCGTCACCGAGCTCCGCGCGGGATCGGCCTACGACCTTGGGAGAAACCCGACTTCGTGACGCGTGATTCACCCGGATGCCGCGGCGGCTCGGCCGTACGACGCGTACGTCATACGTGGCCCTCGCGTGGATTTCGGAGTGCGTCTCGCGAGAGACGCGTGTCTCTCGCAAGGTGTACTCGCACGCGAGCTGCGACGGAGGGTGAAAGTGCCGCGTCGTGGCCGGCCGAGAGCACGCCGAAACCGACACACAGGCGCACAGGCCGTTCTGTGTCAGTGAGCGCGCTGTCTAACGGCATCTAAACCGGATGACGGCTCCGTGAGCATCCATCCGAGCTGCAAGCTTGACGGACTGTTATTCTACTACACGCGGAGCGACGTTGCTCATTAGCAATATATCTTTTGTACATAATGAATGAATCTGCGTCAAGAGTATCACGATCGACGGATCGCGGCGGCTGCGGCTGTCGTCGCCGCCTCGTAATGTAAATACACACGTACACACATACACACGTATACGGGCTCACAGGGCACACACGTACACACATGCGTCCACATACATACATATATATACACGCATACGCACGCACATACACACGTGGGTGCGACACATGCAACACACGTAACACACGTATACAAACACACACCACTCAATAGAAGGGGAATGCATTTATATATTATTCGACGGGTCGATGGTTAATGCTCTAAGTCGTGTAAAGAGGAAAAAAGACATGAGGAAGGAACAAGATTGACCTTAGCTGTATATCGGATTCTTGCCGCTGCACTTTACCGCTGTGTAACTGTTATTACCGTTTTGAGCGATCGACGCGCGCGCGCGACTTACGAGGATACCGGCCGGCGTGTCCACCCAATGACGCTTCTGCTGAACCGAGGGCTACTTATAAACCAAGTTTATCGGCTAACCATTTACCAGCTAGTCACTATTATTATTATTATTATGATTATTACTACTACTACTATTATTACTACTACTGTAACTGTTACAAACCAGCCGGATCGTTTTTAGCGACTAATCCAATCGTCACATTATTGCTACCACTACTCTTACTACTGTCGATACAGTATAGTCACGAGTATATATAAATATATATATAAATATATGTATATATATATATATATATATATTTATTTATTTATATATTTATATATACCAATGCATTTATATAATATTAACGAGTCTATGAGAGAAAAGTGCGACGCGTTGTGTCCATAGGTTGTACATATAGTCACAGAGATATACAATTATTATAGAGGTGGGAGAGAATCGCTGATGATAATGAGCGGCGATTCTGGTGAGACGATGAGAGAAAGAGAGATGGAGAGAGGGAGAGAGAGAAAGACAGAGCGAAAGAGAGGAGACGTTCACGAGATAAAGAAGTGTTGGACTCCTCTTCACCGATAGATGTCAATGGTAAGCACGATGCAATGTCGAATTTATAAGTGTTCGAGGCACGAATCGCAGGTGATCCGACAATCGCGGATCGTTCCGTCAAGGATACGAGAGATGGGATCGAGAATGAGCGTATCCCGAAGGGATACGGTGCGGCCGATTCGGTCGGAGGATACTCGTTCGTACGTGCAATAATTTTAGGATGCGTCGCATTCTCTCCTGTACATTCGCGAATTACTTGCCGCACCATGAAATCACGTGTACATTTTGCATCGGCGCGGTTGTTACTGTTTCGTTGATCAGTTTACGTTCCTATTTATTCTGATTATTATTACCATCATTGCGTGTTCGTTTCGCTGCTGGATCGAGGAGAAAGCTACGAGAACCTGTAAATACCGAAAGTCTGAAGCGCGAGTCGTAGGAGCCGACGCTTCTCGTGGGAACTACATTAGAGTTACGAGTGTTATTATTATTATTATTAATATCATCATTATCATCATCATCATCATCATCATCATCATCATCATCATCATCATCATCATCATCATCATCATCATCATCATCATCATCATCATCATCATTCATCATCATCATCATCATCATCATCATCATCATCATCATCATCATCATCATCATCATCATCATCATCATCATCATCATCGCGGGGTATATCACGCCCGGAATTTTCATTTTCGCGCTGGCTGACCTTTCACACCCACGTCGATCGACATAGATGCGATGTTAAACGTTAACACCATGTTAACAAAATTGGCAGCACGGTGAAAAACGAGACGGGAAAGGACTTGAACGCTCCAAGGACGTTGAAAATGCACGTCCCGTCTTGTCCCGACCACAAGAGTTGAGCCAGCTAATTATAAATAACGAGAAAAGATATGTCCACGTGCGAACGGTGCCGTCGGAAATTTAATCGACTCATTGTGCTAATTAATACAATAATTAATACTACCGGCAAGATGTACGGCACGTTATCGCAGCAATGGCGTAAGACGTGAGATATTTTTAATATTCTTATTCCAAACTCTTGTTATCGCAATGAGACATACGCAGTGCCGAAAATCGAGTAGCAGATATGTCGATCGGATAATCAGTGATTGCTGGCGTGCAAGGCTGCGTTACATTAAGATTATACTGAGTTCGCTCCAAATGTGAGTACGTGTGGTGTATGTATATAAAAAAAATCGGGATGCGGAAGTTATGGAGGTATTAATTGTTCGTCTGTGAGGCTGACGAGGTGGCGGAGGAAAGCATGCAGAAAAAGTAAATATACTTTAACCAACCACCGTGTAGTGAGAGTAATAATAAACTAAAGATAGCGATAGTCGACCGACAATTACGAATAATCTCGACGTTATAATTATTCTTGTCACTATCATTATCATTATAATTACCATTATTATTGTCACTATCGTCATGCGTTTCTTTTACTGCGATTTTAGCGCGATTGACGAGTACGAAGGTGGAATGACATGCGAATGTGGGATGAATAGATTAACCAACAATCGACAGTGACTACATTTTGACTTTCCCGCATCACCTCCCGCGTTCCGTTGCAATATCATTGATATACTCGGCGGTGTCATTATTCGTATCATTATCGTCGTCATCTACTAGTCATGTGTGTGATAATTGCTATTAATACTATTATTATTATTATTATTATTTTTATTATTAGCATTAGTTTGATTGTTATTATTATTATTATTATTATTATTATTATATTATGATTGCTATTGTCGGTTCAATTTACCATCACTCTCTGTTGCCGTTATGTTTCATTATCATTGCGATTATGATTGTTGCCGTTAATAAAATTCTACAGGTATATAAGTTCAATAACATGCTTTAAGTAAGTATAAATGTTACTCCGATTGAATAAAGGGTATTTATCGATGAATACTGATCAAATTCCTTCCACGCCTTGTAGAACACGTTGCGCTCGCTTGACGAGCCGAGACGCGATACGTGTGGAAATCGAATTTAACGAGTACGTACGTGGTCTTATCGACTTCGTAAAGATATGTACGTTTGCGTCATTAAATTACGTCTAAAGTAATAATGAGTCACATCACCTGAGCGATGTGAGATTCCGCAAGAAACAATGGTAAAAGAGACAGAAGGAGAGAGAGAGAAAGAGAGAGAGAGAGAGAGAGAGAGAGAGAGAGAGAGAGAGAGAGAGACTAAGGAGGTCGAGTATGTTGAAGAACGTCAAAAAATACCCGTCTAAAAAAAAGTTTCGTATATTATATTTGCACTTTCGTTATAAAAAAAGTCTTATCTTACAAGTTTCGCTGTTAGGTCCGATAGTGTTTTTGCTTCATAATATCTACATGTATATTAATATTTATACACGTATATATTTATATATACACATATATATATATATAATTATATATATATATAAATATATATATGTATATAATGGTATTGTATATCACATTAAAATGGACGTGTGTGAATGGCTTTCGCATGAATATGCCGTGCGCGCGTGTGTGCGTGTGTGTGCGTGTTTAAAGAGACAGACACCGAGATGATACACGACAGAAGATCATTCTTCAGTAAATGACGCGTGCGGCTGAGTTTGCAACACGCTAAATGCTCTATTATTATGATTTCATCGTGGGATCATCGTGGGATGCGATATTCTTTGGACGCGTGTCGCATGTCTAACTACGTCCAAGAGTAGGGGAACATCCGGCGGAGCGCTTTCGAGACATGAACTCTTAATGAGATGCATAATAAAGCCACCCTCAAATTCGGGAGGCGTGACGTGAGTGAAATTCGAAAACTTGAGAACCTGAATGAATGAAATTCGAAACCCAAAGATCCGAGAGGCGACAGTAAAGGCAACGATAAACTCGACTGATGCTCGTTGGAAACTCCGCTGACTTTACATTCGCGTCACCGTATGAAATAAAATTGCACACCGTATCAAAAGAGAGAAAGAAGGAGAGAGAGAGAGAGAGAGAAAAGTCCCGTGTTCGCTCTATCTAAATTTAGGACTCTGTTATTTCTGCCCACTCCAAATCAATCAGACGAACGATTCAAACGGCGTTATTAAATCAAACGGCTGAGCGCGAGAAACGAACCAAATGTCCAAGCGCCGAAAGTAGTTGCTTCGATCTTGCGGTTACAAAACCGCAGTGAGCAACAAGGCGGTGCATAAAAATTGCAAATACCGCGAGCAAATATTGACGATTGTTCGCGGTGTTCTTGCTGGTTACGTTCGCGAGTGTAAAAAATTAAAAGACACGTCACGTAAATCTCTACAAGTTTGCGATTGTGCATTGAGTGCCGGCACGCCATTATACATCGCGCTTTTGCGCATCGCCCTCTTTCAAATGATTCATCGAGACGTTTGTTGAATTTTCACGCGAACAAGATTAGTTATCGATGATGTACGAATTGAGCTGTGTAAAAATTGTAGCCGTAGTCCTTTAGGTCGCTTGATGAATTCTTAGGAGATCCGCTATTTTCTGTGTATATTCCGATTACACATAATGAAAAGTATGACATATAAAGGAAGAGTTTGCAGTTCCGAGCACCGGATAAACGCTGGCGCCAACGATTCACACTGTCCGATAATTAATAATCTAAGCAGTCGACATTTGATAAAAATGTCGCAGAGAGATCCTCGTTCGATTCTTCTTCTTCGGGAAGTTGCTGAACGATCGTCGAATGATAGAAGCCCAGCCCTGACAAGATCGCTTCTTGCGCAGCTAAATGCACATTCGATCACGCGTCTCGCAGTGACGAGAACGAACAACGGAATCGTCGTATGATCGCATTGATTTAATCACACTGCCGATCGCTCTTCGCAGTAGACGACAATACATCGGTTCTCCGGCGCGCTGCGAGCCTCCGTATTCATTGTGGACGGTGTCCTAGTCCCAGCCTTATGACTTCACCTAGAACACAAAGAAACCAGCCGTTTCGAAAGATTTGTCGAGGTTCTCCGCCTGCCATATGAATATGGGAACGTCCTGTCACGACTATTCGACTCAATAATATCGCAATTACAATTGCAAACCGGATGTACCTCAGAATCTCACATAGAAGAAACCAAGCGGTTGTAAAGGCTCGCCGAGATTTCACGTCTCTCATACGAATTTTCAAACATCCTGCTCTCTATTCCTGCTATATTCGACGATAGTAATATCGCAATTACGATTAAAAGCGAATGTACTTTGGAATCAGTTTCATAAGATGAAGATTGACGACGAAAGGATGGAATCATCAGTAATCAAGATTAACACGCGAAGATTCGCCGCGAGCGTCTCTCGGATCGGAGGAAAACCGACTTCGTCCTGTGACTTGTAGGAACGAAGACATTTTCTTAGCCGGAGATGCAGAATCATTTCCTCTGTCTTCCTCTTGTGTCTCAACCGATGTCGCACAAGTGATGTGGCACAGGTCTTACCTTGCGTAAGGCGGTGGTGGTGTTAGCGTTGGAGAAACGATGGTGATGGTCGTCGGGATAATTTGTCCCGAGGATAACGACGACGGTGTGCTAGCATTACTTAGTCTGACTAATTGACTAGGATTCAGCTTGATAGCATCATCGTAGCTCGGTGGTGCGTCCGTCACCGCTTCGTAATCCGGCGGCTTCTGCCTCGACATGCCGGACGGCTCCTCGATGGAGATCACGTGGATCGGGTCGTCGATCTTTAAAAGGAGAGACGATCGTTTGACTTACAGTCAACTTCGCAATGTCATGGAATTTCATTACGTAACTTCGCGGGCCCACGGACTTTCGCGTCATCGCGCTGGGCGCGCTACGAAGATCGACTCTCGAGCTCGATTCTAGCGTGTCTCACTAGCAGACTTTGCTGCTTCACTTCGGGGCCTGCTCGTTCCTGATTAGCTTCGTTTTGTCTCTCTCGATTTGCACATCAGCGGGAAGATCACTTGACTCGCGAGGAATTCCCCGAATTATGTAACTTCTTAACCTTGGGCGTCTCACGAATTCCCGACGCGTAAGTTCGGCGTTCGAACTAGATTCGGAAGCCGGCGCGCTGCCATGCCGCTCGGAGGAATATGTCACACGACTAATCATCGTGAAAGCGCACCGTCGCCCATGTTTCTATTTAAAGAATCCGGATCGACGTACCGGCCCCGCGGTTCCCGCGATACTCTACGCGCCGCGTTATAAGGATATTCACCCGGAAGTGCACATCGCGCTATATTCGTCGTAGGTCGTCTATAGATATCTACCTACGTATCCGACTCTTCTTCTCTCTCTCTCTCTCTCTCTCTCTCTTCCCTTCTTTCTCGGCTACTACCACTCTTTGGAAACACTGTGGCCGGCTGAATGTAAGTCGCGAAAGGGCGAGCGCGAGATACATATAGGGTGACGCACGAGACGCCAGCACTCGCACGGCCGACGAGAATAGCCCGGGTTATTTGCGGCGATAAAGAAAGCTTCGCTGGAAAATTGCATAATGAGCCTAAGTGGAAACGCGAGGTGAACGACTGTGACCCCGTCGCGCCGGCGGGTCCTCCTTCTTCGTGGCGCACGAAATTTCTTTCTCGGTAAGCGAGGTTCTCCCCGAGGGTTATCGCCATGCGATGGGCGCGACTTGGACTCGACGAAGATTCGGAGAATCGAATCGAAGCGATGGGTGTTTTTCTTTCTCCTTTCGAGTCGGAATCGGAAGCGTCAGATATGGAAATGACGTTTCCGTGTGGAAACGCTACGTCGTCTCGGTACACACACACGTCTCGTCACGATAATTGGGGGGGGGGGGGGCGAGAGTAACGTGACGTTAAAACGTAATTGAGTTCGTCGCGGCTGCCGTTGCGCAAAGCACCATAAGAGGTGTAACGATCAATGCCGGTTGCCGATACGCGAATACCCCGTCCAACAGCCAACGAAACAGCGAGCTTCGACGAAGAACCGTCAAGAGCTCGTATGAGAAAACCGGTCGGATAAATTTGATCCCAGAAAGGGACTCTAAAATCGACACGAATTCGTGACATCAGGAATCGTTCATCAGGGAGAATTCCTGCGCGTGATGAGTCGATCAAATTCATTCCCGGAAAGATCTCGGCTGTGAATCAAACACGCATGCCGCTTCCTCCTGCGACAAGAGACATCGTCTCGACGAGATGACATCTTTCAGCAGTTATCAGCAGGAAAATCAAAAGTATCGATTTCTCGAAATTTGCGACATCTCCACGAATCGCGGACGCTTGCGTCTCTCATGATGACGGGGAAACACCCTGCATCGTAAGAATGGATTGCGTAACGTCACGTATCGCAGCAGATGACGAAGACGGTATAATCCGCGATGTGTCATATGTTCGTTCGCGATGTAACCACGTACGTGTGTTTGTGAGCGAGCGCATGCATCTATGATTTAATTAATACAACAACGTAATCGACAGCGAGAACTAGCTCGTGATTGACAGCGAGTGTCTTTCGTGATCAACAACACCTCATCGCCCGACGCCGAATTTAACTCGCGCTTGGTCGGTCACGATTTAAGAAACTGCCATCGAAACTACGAGGCAGATATATTCAAGGATAAATGACGATATATATAGCCCGACCTACGGTTCCGGGTGAATATCCTTATAGCAACAATCGACATTAGAGACTACCACGACCTCCTTTACGACGTCGAGCCGACGTGCGCTATATCTTTTTTGCATATACAATGTAACGAAGCATAACGAAGAACGGACGGGCAAACATTTGAGAATGGACAGGCGGTTTATTTTGCCGCGGGCATATTCATCGACGACTTTTACGGGGAAAAAATATGCCTCGCGGATTAAATAGCCGACGCGAAACGGGCAGACGAGCGCGACTGCGGGCAAAAAAGAAAAATGTGCGTTGTGTACATTAGGAGGGAAAGGCTCGTTAAGTCCTTGGTAGATTCTATCAGAAGATCGTTAATTATCGCGAATATTCAGTATCAGTAGGAGCAACGTGAAACTCGTGCTAATGAACCGACAGTACAAAATCTTCATATTAACAGTCTATTGAAACTATCCTCGCAACGTCGATCGCGCGTGTGGCGAAATATTTGCCTGACGTTACGCGAGGTATGAATTAAGCTCGCATTAATAATACATACACAGATATACTAGTAATAGTGATTTTATAAGGAGATGGAAAGAGAGAGAGAGAGAGAGAGAGAGGCAGAGGCAAAGAGAGAAAAAGTGCGTGAAATCGACTTCAAGGAAGAACGAACCATCCGTGGAATCATTCGTAATATTTCCGCCATTCAAAGTTGAAAGGAGGAAACGCAACGGTAAAATGACATAATCGTAATTCCGGGCTGTTTTGTAGATAACAGACGAGCGATGATGATTTTTAACGTTCAAAACTTCGACGATGTCAGCCCGACGAAATATCAGGCCGGCGATGAAACGCCCATGTTTGCCGTGTGCGACGATGATTTATGAATACCGCGATTGTCTGATACGCATGAAAATTCGTTCCCCTTTATCTCTCCTTTCATATCTCCCGTTCAATTGCGTTCGTGGGAGAGGGGAGAGGGGAAAAAGAGGAAAGTATGAGCTATAGATCGCGGACGAGGTGTATTATCATGCTTCTTCTTATTCTGCCCACCGTCGGTAGTAATTGCGACTTACCGCCAGGCTAGGGGCCAGGCAGAGGGGGGAGGAGATATATCTATAGATAATACGCGCTCTCTTCGTGGTCTATAATAGGGGGTTGACCCGGATCGATCTAAAAGCGTTTTAATCCCCGGGGCCTTCAACCACGTCGGCGACTTGCATCCTTGCGGACTGCCAAACGAACGATAACGATTCGAAGCGTCGCTTCGACGCTTAGCGTCGCGAATATATCCCCGAGCGATAATCATTTTCACGAAAACAGGAATCAAAATTTCATTTCACGTTCTTCAACTTCCACGTAGCATTTTGCGCCAATCTCACTCGTCGATAGCCCTCAAATTCAATTCCCAAATCCGTCCGGATCGATAGAGCATGGTTGTGATATGTTTTTCTCCGTCTTCCGTCGCCCTCGACGGTGAGAGAGCGCGAGCGCAAATTCGATTTCTCCGAATCGATAGATCGAGGATTACCTGTGCCGTGATCGGATGATTCGTGTGTTGCGTGTGCGTGCTCGTTCTAGTTGGCGGTGCGTGCAGCCAACAGCACATTGCGGCGCAAATGAGGAGAGCCCCAGCGACTATGCAGGCGACTCCGACATATCGCACTGGCTCTACGTAGTTTTCCGCCAGGCCCAGCCAGTTTATGAGAGCCCCGACGCACAGAAGAACCATTCCGTAGCGATACGGGCGTTGCGACCTCCGAGATTCCTCCAGAGACATAGCTGTGATAGGAAAAATAACAAAATATTGTCTTACGTAAAATTCCTACGACGTGCTCATTTGCTCCTTTTTTAACAGCATTCTCTCTCTCTTTCTTTTTTTTCTCCGTCGTGCTTAGAAGAGAAACGCGATACTCGCGCAAGATTTAGGTAAGCACAGCAGCTCTGAACGTTGTACGGGATTCCTACGATTATTATGAGTTTATAGAGACGCGATATTGCTATTGTCAATATACGTTATTCAACATATATAATGTCAAATGACGAAATGTCTCTGTCTAAAATCTGTCGCGCGAGGCAGTTTTGTAAAAATTGCCTGCTTCGACGATAAAGCGTTTATAATACGAATAGAAAGCGCCTCTTCTGCTTCACGCTCTCTCACGTTTGTGACCTTCCTTCCTTTTCCCCAGAATGTTCTCTTCGAGTGTGGTCCTCTCGAGTGTTTTCGAATCACTCTCTGTATAAAGTCCAAGATAACTTTATCACGCCGAGAATCGTTTCTGTTCAAGTGCCAAGCACTTGGACTCTATCATAATACGCGTCGAGAATCTTGAGTTTCTGTACGACCAGATTATCGAAATTCGTTGATAAGTTGACGATAATGATGAGCAACGAAATATACTTGATGAAATAGCAGGAAATAATTCTCGCGTGGAAAATGCGATTCCATCCGCAAAGAAAGATCGCGAGTATGAGAGTACGTGACATTATAATATTTACAATAATATTAAATGCAAGAGAAAAGAGAATGATATTGCTCTCAAGAGGAACGAACGAGAACTGAGCTGCAAAATTCGAGGATCAATCTCTATTGCAACAGGAGACGCGATTTTTCCTAGAGAGAACACATTTCATCAGGGAACCCCAAGATAGATCCTACGGAGGATACTAAAGATTTACGATACTTGATCAAATATCTATTTATTGTTTGAAACAGAATTCGGGAATGAAGACCCTCGAACAAATTGGATTCGAAAAAATTCAAAAATTCCAATTCTTGGAACTGGTTGAGATATGATGTTTCTCAGGAAAAGAAATCTCCGAGAGAAAGAATTCGACGGGCACTCATCTTCGTGTATTATCAGTGTGAGTATCATTGAGGCAAACTACATCTTCATTAAGACGACGACCGTTGACAATATCGACGAAAGCAAAAAGGCACTTGCTGCGCGAGCGCCTTGACAAAAGACACGTCGCTTCCGAAAGTAGGTCGTTCGTACAAAACTCCATTACTCATCTGTCCTTGCGGCCATCGACGAGGGTGACAAGCAATGACGTCAGGAATTAGACAGATTGTAAATAATGCATCCGCGAAGCACTAATGAACAGGCGCAGCTCGATATATAATTTCGTTACGAAGACATTTACCAGTTAATTGCTAAGTACGTAGGTATCTAACTCTTGAAGACATTCGGGACAACGTGGAAAGCACGATGGGAGCGCTCCGTCGTCGAGATTTAATCAGTTCACGACTGACTGTTGTAAAACAAGAAAGCTAAAGAAATTGAACTCTCACTAAAAGTGAAATTCCGCCGCGTTGAAAATTGGACGACCGTTCGACGCACGTTAAACCGTTAGACGGAGAGTGACGATGCGTGTCAGAGAAAATAAAAAGCCGACGCGAATTTTTATATGCGATCATATCTCACACGTGATTTTCTCATTTATCGCGCTCAACAATGACCTTTCCGTAATGAGAATATGATAGGATACAACGACAAGCTAGAATATTATAGATGGACTAGATTGATACGACAATACACAAGCATTATTATCTATATATAGGCTCGAGTATTATATACGGGCTGTATACGTACAATTTTCGATAGATTCCTAAATTTATAACATATCACGACCACACAAATCTATCTGAGATAAAGTACAGTTTCTATTATTGTTTCATGTCGCTTATATTTGGAGTAACTGCTCCACACAATCTCGCGATTTCTCAGAATTCCAAGTTTCACCAAAGATGCACTGTTTATCGTGCATACTGGTTTACGCATCCGCGATGAAAGTAGCTCCTTCTCTCTCCGAGCGTGAGAATTTGATTTTCTCGGAAATCTTCGAAGCTTCAACAATCTGGCTGTATTTTTTCTTTTCTTTTCTTTTTAAGAAACCGGCTGTTGCGTGTCGATACTCGCGTCACGGCACGGCGCAAGTCGCAGGAGGAAGTAACGTAGGAAGAAACGAGAAATCGCTGACACATAGTAGATTACTCGCTAAAATCCGTCGTTGAATCAATAAATTATTCAGAAAGCCAATTCATCAGCGAAACTTGTCGCTCTTACATAATTCATCAGTGATGCTAGTGCGACTAGAAATATACATCGATTATCTACAAAGTAGGCTACATGCAAACGATTATAACGCTCAGATAAGTTACGTAGACATTAGTGCGCAGGGACGCGATCGATATATTCGTCTCGTCGCGCGTCTATACGCCTCTTCAGCCTCTAAATATTGTTTAACTATCGGAGGCGTTGCGTTCCGTTTCGTTTCGTTTCGTTTTCGCGTAACCGCGGCAAATTGCCGGAGCTTCTTTCGCGGACGACACGCTCTGAAAAGCAATTTGACCACCCGTTGTATATGCATATTACCGCGCGGATATTACATTCATAATTATCGTTGAGCTAATTTCCCCCTGATGATGTTTTTATACAAGAAGATTAAAACCAACGATTGTAACATTAACGACGAGTGAAATTTTCCACTCGACGGCTGTTGGGCTGTTAATGGGTAACGATAACGCGTTAATGACACTTCCAAGCTGGCCAATTACACACACGGATTAATTCCCGTTCCCTATCGTCATGATTCGCGTGACTCGTTTGACACGAAACCCGACGACGCGACCCGATATCACCCCTTTCGGGGGACGCGCTCGCTCACTCTGCTGTCGTCGCGCGCGCAAACAGCAAATTTAATGAATACGCCATACTGTAATTAGTTTACCGCTATGCTCATCCATGCTCTCGGCATTTATTAGGCAGAGGGTGAGATGGTGTGCACACGTTAATGACACTTCGGCGTTGTCTTTCGGCTGGCGAATTTCCCCGACAACTAGCGTGTCGCGTGACGAGCCGCCGTATTTAAGGCGACGCGAATTAACGAAGCGAGAAAGATCGCCCGGTCGCCCGTATTGTGCGTTTCCCGTCGCGTCGTCGCGCGCAATCGTAAAGATAAAGCTGTATTTTCGAAATGTTATCTCGCCGCGCGATCAACATCGGACTCGTTTGAACAACTTGACGAGACGTTGCAAAGGCATCTCGTCGCCGTGATATGCACTTGTGCACGTAGCGAGCACAACGGGGATACACGTATCATCAGACTCCATATGCGTGCACGAGGCGACGCGCGAACGCAATGACGCGGCCGCGAAATTAATTCCAATTTACATACGTACGCGGAGAGCGGCATCCAAGGACGTGACTTGTACTACGAACCTCCTCAAGACTAGCTAAACTATACTCAATGAGGTGCGCGAGTTGTTAGCTGCGCGCAGGTTGTCCTACGGCCAACCACTGTACGACGTCTTATCTCTTTGACTCTCTGATTACCGGTCAGTTTATCTTTGGTAACTAACTCCAACGCACCATCAAGACCCATTAGACCCAATCTCAGTTTCCGAGTTTCTTCTTGAACAATTTTGGACAATCTTAATCTTGTTTGATATTTCACGAGGATTCGTGATCTCTATTTGGATTGATCTTACTGCCTAGATATTTTATTCCTTTCTAAATCTTTATTTGTTTCTTTCTTTTTTTTCTTTTCAAAGGAATGAGGAAAAAGATTTTTTTTTTCTATAAACTCAGGCTTATTTTATCTTGTAGATATATTATAGTATGGTATATATCCTGAAAATTTTCCTGAAAATTGCGTGGCGAAGGTGAAATCGCGCCCGTGTGAGAAAAGGAAAGGAACGCTGGAATTTGAGAGAAACTGCTCTATTGACGAAATTAGTCACGAAATGCAGCACGAAATCTGATTCCCGCGAACGTCGAAGCTGAAACGGACGATCCGCTTCTCTTATTACATAGTATTACCTCGTTATATGCTTCGATTTTATTCATGACAACAAAAAACCGTTGCACATACGTTAAGCGGCTTGTAGGAAATTTTCTGCTTCTTCAAGTATATTGATTTTTAACCGCTTCGCATACGTGTATCTGGTTGGAATATGCAAAGTATCCCAAGGCCGCGCCGACGTTAAGTCAGTACAGGTAGCAAAACTGAACAGAACATCGCGGAGTAGACGGATTCTTCGAGTTGCGAAAGATTGGGAGTGAGGGGGGATCTTCTGGAAAATCAAGTTCCAAAAACCGGAACAGATAACGAAGTAATTCCAACGGCTATTTTGTTGTATATGCGGAATTTATGTTTGACATTTCGTTGAACTTCGTTGAACTTCGTTGACATATCTCCGATGCTGCAAAAATTGCAGTCACATTACGAGGAAACTATTAGTTCGGTGGTTTTCTGCGTAGTTTTGCGCGTATGTAGATATAATTTTATCGCAACATGTCATACTGAGCCAGCTCGTTATAAACAGAGAAATTGTTTCCGAGAATGGATAATAAATCGTTGCACGGCTATCTCGAGTGCCCGGTCTTTTTACCATATTTACCGAATTTGAGAAACATGTGTATGTGAATATTTTTAATTCACCAACTGTTGATTTCCGACTTGGGTCGCCATGCGAGCGCTCCGCTTTCACTTCAACGTGCGCTTCTTAATTTTTAGGTAATGTTAAAATATTATAATTTTTCATGAGAACGCGACTCTCTCCCACTGCTTGTTATCTTCGTCTTATCTCGCATGTACGATACAGTCGCTATTTTCGTAGTAAACTGATCTTGGAACGAGAAGAATTTCTCGATAAGAATCGCACGATAAAGATGATCAAAGAACTCTGCGCGAAAGAAACACCGTGGCACGGTTGCATCAGGCTTAACTAATTTTATTTCTGCCGCATTCAGATCCGGATTCTTTATCGCAAGATTGTTATTTTCTCTCTCTCTCTCTCTCTCTTTCTCAGCAGTTCTCGACGCGCTCGGCGAATAATTACGTTGTGCAAAATGGAGATTTAAATAGAGACAGTGGCGATCTCCGATCCGGTGTGGAAATCATTTATGCAATATCTGAGACCTACCGTTGACGTAATGAATAGATCGGGTCGCGGAGACTGCTCGAGTGTATCGATATAAAGATGTATCAAGGTAAATTTAATCGCTCGATTTCCCATGGTACTAGTCGAGGGCCGAGAGCACAACTTGAACGCCGACATGGCCCAGTCCGCGGCACATTTTAATACCTCGCTACTTTTTCACGACTTCCTCGCGGTCGTAAAAGCTGACGCGGATGATAATGAAGAGAGAGAGAGAGAGAGAGAGAGAAAACGAAAGAGAGCGAGATACGTTCTTGCGGTAATTATCAACAAATGATCGTGAATTTGCATTGTCGTGCCACTCGGCCAAAAATTTTTCTCACGTACGATAACTGTCTAGCTGTCACACCTTGCATTATTCGCAATGTTACATGGCGCATCGAATAGAACGAGTAGAATTTCCGACCACACAGCGACTCGATCGCGAGATGAGATTAACGAAGACCCGGCAATTATCGCCCGTTTTAATTGACTCCAACACGATCAACTTTCTACGAAATCTGTGCCATCGAAATCTAACGCGCGAAATCTTGCTTCAACCGATTGCCATGTACCTGCCGAGAAGAAGTCGTTTGATATTTTCGACGAACGAGTAAAAGTTCGACGGAAATGAGTAATCATCGCGGCAGATCGATGATAATAACGTGCCGAGGGGGAGGGAGGCTGGCCCGTATCGCTATCGGACGCATGTACGCCAGTTATAAATCCGTCGTCCAATTTCCAAATAATACGAAAAATACTATGATGTATAATCGTCAGAGAGATTCAACAACGACACATCGTTCTCGCTCCCTATAATTAAGCGTAAACATACTCTTACACCGAGCGTTAAAGCAGCTTCTTCATTCTTCGCTGCCTGTTCATTGTCCGTCAGTTTTAAACGCTTCTATTTTTGCCCTCACCTTGCATAAGAAAGAGTCAGATGCTATTCGCCGCTAAGACTACATCTCACGTTCGTTCACACCGTGTGGCGTACCACCACACGTGTTGCGTACGACGCGGTGTTTGTCGGGAACAACATAAACAAGTGCGACGCAAGTCTACGTGCGAGTGCACGAATAGATTGCGACGTGCAATCACGCGAATCGGGCTTTGCATTCTCCGGAGCGACAGTGACAACTTCGCGCACGCGAGCGATTAAAATAGCAATAAATATTGTGCGGATTACACGGGCTTGACAACAGTCGCGCGACGTGTAAACACCGCTCGGCTTGTGTCTGTGATTCGTCGTCTGAGTCGCGAGCGTCTGAGTCCACCTCGGCGTCGTTCCGTGTTTTCAGACACTATCCGCAGAACCTCGGCGCGAAAGAATCAATATTACATTCGAGTGTGTGCCAAACTGAGCGCGATAGCGTCCGTGAAAGTACAACGGACGTTTTTATCATCGCCGAAATATTACACAGCCGCGATAGGAGATATACGTAGGCCGCTGCCGGAAAAAAATCAATACCCGTACAAAGTACACAATTGTAAGCGCGGGCTTCGACGGCAACAGAAGCGCGAGGATGTCATGCATTATTCTGTGAACGCGCGACGTTGGTCGTCGGCAAAATAACGTCGGTAATATCCGTGTCATTAGCGTCGATCGTTTCAGCGCAAAAACGGTTAAATATAGCAGCTAATTGTGTGTACACGCCGCGACACGAAATGACATTGCCGGGTATTTGAGGACAGATAGATCCGCGCGCAGTTGGGAAAAACACAAACGGGGAAGCATCCCTCCGCGATATAACCGGCGCTTTTCGCCGGTAAGTCCAAGAAACCTGAAGAACGAGCGCGCACTGGGCGCGCTACGTTACGTTATTTGCCGGTTAGCGAATCGATCCGTCCCGTGCGCGCTTCCGTGCAGTTTGCATTTTATCGAACCGTTCGCCGGAACGCGTATGCGTGACGCTCGGATCCCCCCTTCTATATTTACGTGCGTGCGTATTGTACGTGCATGCACCACGAGACGCATTCGGTCCCCCATGAACCGGTCAGAAACCGGGGAACTGTCTTGCGTCAACGGCTGGCACGACCGGTGCAACTGTTACATGGTTACCCGTCGTTCACACATGGTTTAACCTTAACCTGGTTTTGCGCACCTCGCGCACATCAAATACGGTAACGATGGATAAGTAAGTAGTCAATTTTGTACTTACGAGGCGCTATCGCGTACGAAACCGAACGAAATATTCGACGAGAGAGACTTTACTGTCGCCGCCGCCGCCGCCGTCGTCGACGTCGCTGTATTCACGTAATTTTCAACGCGAGGTGTAATTTACGCAATTCCTGTTCTTATCTTCCTGCCTGCCGTATCGTTGTTGCGATATCACGAAACTCGGAATTTGTAATTTTTCACTACGTGCGCGGCGGTGATGAGAGATAATGACGAACGGCAAAAGTAAAAGTGAAAGCAAAGAAATACGTATAGAATATTTCTATCCTCGGTCTCGATAGATTTGTTGCTCCGAGATGAAAATACACAGAAAATAACAGGTGGATTTAGGCTGAATTTTGTCTAATGCTTGTTATATTTACGCGTTATGGTTTATCCTGTTTTACGTTTTTCATACTCCTGTCAAAAGAGTCATTCATTTATTCATTTTTATAATTTACATGAGGTCGAGACTCTATGAATACACTTATGCATGTGTGGTGCATGTAAGCTCGCAAAACAAATTTAAAATCGAAATTTAAAGCGTTCGAAAATAATTGTCGTTTCTCGCGGTTTCTCGCACGAGGAACAACAATCTCGCGGTCGCGTTCACGCGACTCATGCGTTTATGCTCGATACTTGCATTATCATGCATCTACGCAGAAAAGTTTTGTTGCATTCCTATATATTTAACGTCATGCAAAAGTTGATCGTGACTACAAAGATTCGACGAAGAAAAGATGCAGTAATAATGTATTCACGATGAAATGAGTCACTGATACAGCGAGAGTTATCGCGCCTCTATAGACTCAACATAAACATCAGCTTCATAAATCCATGCAAATTTGTGCATTTTTTCTGTTGTTCCTCTGTTAAATCGCTCCTGCTTCATAAACGACCAGGCCGAAGTCGTGAAATTTAAAAGAATATATATATATATATATAACAGAATAAATAAAAAAATATATATATATATGTATAACGAGAAAATTGCATTAGAAATTATTCTTCACTATTTTCAAAAACCTCATTTTACTCAGCTTAGTCTATTGACATAAAAATGTTATTTGTAACTTTGAAAGCAGCTTGATCGTTATCGCGGAATTTAGTTCACGCAAAAAAAAATGTCGTAATTATTTGCGCAAGATTTGCTTGAATACGTGCATCATTTGGAAAAAATTGACGAATATGCAAAGAAGCATTGGAATATCGCGATAAATTGGTGGTAATACGATATGTGTGCCATTTATCTTCTCCAGTCAACTGGAATCGTAGGCAAATATTTCTCATCGGTGAGTTTAAAACGCAAAATATACTCGCT